GAGACCTTTGTTTCCCTTTTTATTAGCTATATTTTTGTGCTCCAGCAATACCAAGCATGGGGCATGTGTATACCCAATCTGATTTTGTTACTTATCAGGATCTCTACCAGCCTACCCTCAAATTGAAATTATTTTACACAGGATTAGAATAAATTAATCCACGAGACCCTGGGCATGGTCAAATACATCAATTGAAAAGGTTTGCCCTCCTGAGTCCAAAACTATAATTAGATCTCAAATCAGTCAAGACATGATGGAGTTATGAGCTAAAAGTTTGTACCTGAAAAAAAGAAAACAACTCAGAGCTGTTCTATGAACTACTCAGCAGAGGTTAAAAATCAATTTTTTTTTTTTGTGTACAGAAGATTTGTAATGTTTACCAAAAGCAATGCCAAATTTTGGGAAGATACACTTACTGCATTAAAAGTTAAAGTATGTAAAGTTTCATGGTTACATGGCAGTTACTTGGATGGTCAAAATGACCCAGCCCATTCAGAAAGGGTTAACTAGTCATACAAAGTAGTTGTTGAAAATAAATATAAAGCCCAATTTATCATTTGATCCACCAATTGTCACTTGCCTTGTCTAGGGAGCAGAATTTCCAAATCAGTACATCTCAGTGACAAATAGTGAATTGAATGACAGATTGGAGTTCATATTTATTTTTAGTTCTTTAAAATAGTTCTGTTGCTGAATAATTCCTAAGAAGAGATTCATAGTATAAATGCAACTTATTTTTTAAACCCTATATAAACAATGTGGTAAGTAAAAGACAACTAGAAACAACATACATACAATGTAGATCAGTGATTCCCAATTTTTTTGTTTAGTGCTGACTCCCATTTCAACTGAATGACCTCATTTGTTCAAAAAATGTATTTCAACTAGTCCATTCAAGTTTGTTTGCTACATATGAATTTTTTTTCTGCCACACTCACCGTCCTACCAGAGCCTGCCAGGACCCCATATTTGGGAACCACTGAGGCAGGTGTTGACCGTGTACAAGTAGCTTACAGCACATTTGCTGTATTAAATAACAAAGTCCATCCACACATCAATATCAACATAAAAAAATATGCTACTACAACATAACTGCACTTGCTTTCTTCTATCAGTTGACACTTCCAGTGACTTTATTTTATTTTCTACTAAAATTGTCTTTAGATTAAAGCAATTTGATTTTTTTACGGTTTTAAACTTTGATATATAGATAAAAAGATTTAAATGTGGCTATTCAGTTTTCTACACTTACATTTTAATGATATGGAAAGTTTAGAAAATATTTTAACTGTGTGTAATGCTAATAATAATAAACCCAATGATAGGCCTACATTAAACATTGAAAAGTTGAGCTTCAGGCAATGAAGATATTTCATGGCAAAAGAAAATATGCTAAAACAGTCTGTTTATTAATGTCTCATACTGAAAAAAAAAAGTAATAGGAAAATGATTTTTGTTATATATATATATTTTATATGCTAGAATGATTGAATTTTATGTTATTTGTTTATATTAAAAACTATCACAAGTAAGATACCCTAGTGACTACTAAATATTTGATGCATTTATTGGTATGTAGAAAGCAGTTTGAGTACCAATGTATGCAACCCAATGTCTTGAAAAGGTACCTTAGATATTAATCAAACTTTTGCACACTGAAGCTTGACTAGACCAATCTTTCTGCTTACAAAATGAGTTTTGCAGTTCAATTTGGTAAAAAGCTACAAATGCATAAGAATTTCATTAGTGAACGTTTCAAATATTCCTAAAAAATAGTGTTCTTTGTAATTTATTTTCAGTGGTATATCAATTTACTACTAAATTGTTTTCTGCACTTGATACCTATAGATCAGTAGTACAAATCTGTCCCTTCACTCAGAGTCAAAAGTATAATCTATACTTTGGTATTACACAATACTTCATTCTCATTTCATTAGCAAACAAAAATATGTATGGGTTATACAGTGATGTGTACAAAGGAGTAATGCTACCATGAATGTGACAACTATCCCAAACAGATATTTTTTCTTCATTTCATAATTTCTCTCTCTCTCCATATTTATACTGAATATGTATGATGTCATTTAGGATGTAATCTTTCCCTGATCAATACTAACATATGAATATAAGTTAATGATGTGTCTTTAAAAATTCAATAAATTAAAACTCTATAGCCTTTTGTACGTTATTCATACCTTTCTGCATCACCTTCTTCTACTTCAAACAACTTTTTCATCCAGTAGTTTCTCCTTCGGTACAGTTCGCCCATACTCATCTCATCGATTGGTACATTTCTTTGTTTGATTCTTTCATTAGAATTTCTTTTTTCTTTTACTTTTTGATGTTTAAGATGATCTCCTTGATCTTGAGAACACAGAGCATCATCTGAGACCATCATTGTTAAACCTCTTTCAAGTTCCCACTGACGCCACATTTCTTGTTCTTCTAGAATCTAGAATAATGTACAGATAATATTTACAACACTGAACAAATGAAAGTTGCTTATGCATATGACAGAATAAATAAATTAATACATTGTTTAGTAATTCATGTACTGCCAATAAACTTAAAAACTACATTTAAAATGTCATGATCCTATATGAACAGTAACACTACCTAAGCAGCAAAGAGCACTGCATGAAATGCTGTAATTAAGTTAGTACAGACAAAAATATTTTTAAAATTTATTTTTATGAAATTTTTCTTTTACTAACTGTACAGCTAAGGGCTGTAAGACTTTCTTTTTCCTGGAGGATTAAAGCACTTAAAATACTTATTATTGTTGGATGTTAATACAATTTACTCGAACATAAAGTGTGAAAAAAATTATTCTTGCAATACAGCTTAAATAATCATGAGCATTGCTGAAAACTAAAAGTTACAAATTATTTAGAAAAGGTTAGCAGCAAAACTTTTGAAAGCTGATGGTTGAAAACCACACCTTTTTCTGAAGTGGCACCTTTTATTCTTGAATGATAACATCATTTTTACTAATAGCAACCTAGTAAGAGGACATAATATGAGCAGAGAGGATAAACAACTTAATAAAATTATATGTTTAAAGTTATATTCCTTGAATTTAATTTCTCATGAAATTGCTTTTCATTATTATTTTCAATGCATTTTATGAAAGATTTTTTTTCACAAAAAAACAAGTCATTTGTTCTAAATACTAACCCTTTGTGCATGAGCTTGGTCAATTTGATCTTATAGCAGTGGAACTATACATACTATAATTCAAAGGGTACTAAGCAGATCTTTAAAAAATTTGGAAGCTTTTAGTAAAAATTATAATTCTTGTAAACACAAAATATCAGATTTTCTAAAAACTATTTTTTCTAAAGATTAGCCTATGAATTCAAAAAGCCTTCACTGAGACAAAAAGGATAAAAGGTGATTTTCATGCTAAGAACATAAATACTTTATCTTACAGGTTTATGTTTCATTTGTGTAAGCTCTAGAACTCTTAATGGATATCAAGTTTATTTGTTCAGTATGTTATATCTCTTACTTTCTCTACCCTAACACTAACTGTAGTGAAGCCATCAATGCATTGGAAAGATGAAAAATAAAATAAATAAATTAAATAAATCTAATCTTTTTACATCTGCTGCCTTTTAATTCTATTACTTTACATTGTATTAACCACTCTCTCACAGTATGCAAAACCCAATATATCATAGTGAGACAGCTTTGTGTAAACAAACTGTTAATGTGGTCTCAAACCACACAATTTATGTAGGCAAGTAATAAGAGAAAATTGTTCATTTAATTTTTTGTTAAAATTTTGTTAACTACCTTAAGTTTTTAATTTTTACATTTTAGTTAGTTTTGTTAAAAATACATAATAAAAAAATATATAAAAACAGACTTTGGACTTTCATTAGTATTGAACTATTAGTATTAGTATTTGTACACAGGAGCACATTTTGATAATACTAATTTTTTCACACTATGTTGGTTCTACAGAAAATAATTAATAATGCTTCCAAATATGCATTTTAGTACACAAATAATATATTAGGCACTATAACAAATATCCCAAATCTACTGTAATTTAACTTACATTCTAACTAAGCTATAAGTAGGTTAAATAAGTTCCATTAGCTGCTCAGAGCTGAACAGCAATGACCACACAATAAATGTCAAGTAAACTACCTGTATATGGTAGTTAAAATGAAATAACTATGTATGGAACTATTTTTTTCTATTGCTCCTAAACATATCTAGCAGCAGTGTCTGAGAGAATTAGACATGTCTTGAAAGAACAGAGAGAGAGAGAGAGATGGATGGATATGTCAGGGGGGTATGATAAATAGTAATATCTACTAAGTTTAGCTATAGAAGTATAGGTAGGTTTAAATTTTATAATTTTAGGACTTAAACAATATACTAACAGTAATATAGTTAATAATTA